AGTCCTGCAGCTCCTTGGCAAGTGTGACCATCCCCAACTCAGTGACATACATTGGGGTTCGCGCCTTCTTCGGGTGCAGCTCGTTGGAACATGTGACCATTCCCAACTCAGTGACCAAGATTTGTGATGGAGCCTTTGCAGGATGCAGCTCCTTGGCAAGTGTGACCATCCCCGACTCAGTGACCCAGATTGGGCTTGTTGCCTTCAAAAAATGCGAGGCATTGGCTAGTGTGACCATCCCCAACTCAGTGACCAAGATTGGGGAAAGAGCCTTCCAAGGGTGCAGTGCTTTGACTTTGGTGGTGCCCGTGACTCGGACCTGGTGGGAGTTTGGTGCCTTCATGGGCTGCAAGCAGATTCGAGCCAAAGAATGCGAATGTCAAGAGTGCGAGTACGAGTGGTTTCTGCAGGGCGAGTACGAGTGTCCTCGACGGCGATCGTGAGACGGCCACCATGGGCGCTTGAGTCCACAGACCGATTGAAAGCCGTGCGCGAAAAGGCAGCTCACTTGACTATACTGATGGAAGAGCTCCCGCAGGTATAGGAGACCCATGAAGTCGTTTTGGGAATGCACCACCACCAGCGCAGGAGAACTCTTCCGCGGTAGTGTCCACCACTTTCGATTGGAATGTGTCAGTGGGGAGTCCCACCCTGATCAGGGGAAGGATGGGAAGGGTAGGCTTTGCCAATTAGGGAGTATGACAGGCTTGGAACCTTATTGATTTTCTTGCCCGGTGACTGCCACTCGCACATCCTTCAATGTGTGCACCAAAAGGTTTGACGAACCGTGTTTGTGTTTTTCATCATTTGGTACCAGTTTTGGTACCTTATAATATAATATAGGCTTTTCCCCAAGCGGTCTGAGCAGTTTTCCACTTATACAACCCACCAATGCTTGGCCGCCTTGCAAGACGGAAAGATCGACGGATGTGAGTCGTACGTCGACGGAACGTTTTTTTGACACGTTTTCAGGTCGCTACAGGTCTACCGAACCAAACCTCCAGAGAAATAGTTTATTTTTTAATATAAGGCCCCGAAACCCGAAATATATATATATATATATATTAAATTATACAGCATATAAAGCAAGAACTTGGCCTGAGTAGCCAGGCATCTATCATGTTGCATGATCTGTCAATGACCAAGCACCTACGTAATGAATGATTGCAAGATAGACCAGGCATGTGACCAGGCATCATGATCATCAATGCGTACCTGATGGCATGTGACCAGACCCACTGGCGACCCACGTGGATCCGCTTCGGTCAGGTGAGTGACGCCTCCGGGCCCCGGTAGACCGCGACCAAGCGGGCGCCCAACTTCTCCGCTGTTTCGTTGCTCCGGAGAGGAGACCGAAACAAGAACTAAGCATGGTGTTTTTTTGTTTTTTCTGGCTTAAAGGGATTTTAACAAGGTGAGAACAAGTTGGGGAAGTAGGTTTGAATTATAGGGCATTTGTGACTGTGTGTTTTGCTTTATTAATCACATATGTTTTTCAAACATATAATATATATATAGATCACGTTCTGGGTGGCCCCAACAAGTCACGCATGCTGCCGGTGATCTTCACGATACCAGGGTCTTCCAAGTGGCCTCATTCGGGTCCCCAAGCGACCTGCTTCGGGTGCGATTTGTTTAACTCAAGCTGGAGCGCTGTACCACCACTTTTAGGAACCAGCTCTGTTTTGGAGTGTGGCCTGCACCTGGGTACATGGGAAGAGCTGGTTTGGGGTTTTGGGTTCAGTCAGGTATCAGTTGTTCTGGGGAACCGCGATTTAACATGATTCCATCGGTGTAGGCCTGTACTGCCAATGTTCACATATGTCTGAAAACAGGCGAACAAGGAAGGATAAGGAAGGTGCCTGATGGACCCCAAGGAGATTTTCTGCATGTTTCTGCTATGACTGTACTATGATAGTTACAATCAATAAGCCCCTTCTCGAAGCGGTTCCTTTTTGGTCAATCCACCAAGTCGCATTCCGAAGAAAAGCGACGCTTCGTTGAGCGGCGTTCTGATGGCGATCTGCTGGGCCCTCCCAAACAACGAAGCCTTTTGATGTCGAAATCTATGCACATTTGGCTGTGTTTCCTCCTAAAGCCACCCACATTTGTTAGCACAAGTACTGAAGTCCATTGAACTCCCATGCATATCTTCACGTTTGGGATTGGCGCCTCAGCTGTCCGCTTTGGCCCTCGATGTACATAGCTCTTACCTCGATCTTCACCCGCCCGCAAAGGATCGGTCGACCGGTGGGACGGACTGAAGGTGAAACAGGCTGACTCAGGCGGCGATGCGCCCGGCGAAACGGGGATGCGCCCGGCGTGGCAGTTCGCTGGCAGGTAGGATCCTTTGTTTTTTCTGCTTGAAACCGCTGGCGGCGGACTTTTCGATCCACTTCTGGGGCCCGACTTCAGGCTGCTTAGGAACAAAACCAACCCCCCTGCAGTTTGCTGGCAGGTATCGGTAGGTATCGGTCCAAAGATTCGGTTCTGGCCACGAGGTGGAGAGAGGCTCCCAGTGATGATGAGGTGGAGTGTCCTTCTGACGGCCCAGTGGAAGAGGCCTAAATTGGTCAATAGTCAATAGCACGTCCTGTGGGTCCAATAGCACTGCCTAGAGCACTTCAAAGCATGTCTATAGTAGCAACTGGACAGTGGGTGTCCAATGTTGAGACCTGCAAATCAATTGTCTCTTCTTCGAGACCTTCGCTGGAGCTGCTGAGATTATTTCAAGTCAAATACTCTGAAGAAGCTGAAGAAAGATCTCATTCAATGGTTATCCAAACGTGTAACGTGGACATACGTGGACTCAGACGGGGATATTCGGAAGTTCTTGCCAGGCGCCAGACTAATACGATGAACTCTTCGGCTCTGAAGCCACTCTAGAGTGATAGGGGGGGATGTCGTGGCCACCCCAAGTGGTGGAAATCCACTGGTGAAGCCCTTTCACAGACCCTCTTCCTCAGGGAGCAAGCTGAGTCGCTGGGGGGTGGCTCACCTTCCCCATGAGAAACACGGAGCACTCGGAGCTAGCGTGTCTTTGGGGGGGTGATTGGACACCTTCAATCACAGCCTTCAGGGGGGGCCGATCATGGGAGAACCGGCGTTCAGTCGCCGGCGTTCAGTCGCATGAATCTGGACATGAGCAGATCCTCCTTTAGAGACCGATTCACCACGAAGCTTCGAGCCTGTCCAGGTCCAAAATCCTTTCCACACCTGGAAGAACTAGGCTACTAGAGTAATCACGCCAGGTGAAAGCTGGTACTTACATGTAATTACCCAGGCCCTAAGCTTCCTCCATGTCCACTTCCATGTTGAAATGGGTTCATCACCTCAGTCATCACCGCGATGCCTTCCAGGCATTGAGTGCGGTGGGCCTACATGGGCCTGACGTGCTACAGGCCTTGTTCAAAACGTTTTGAAGTTGGTGAGACTGGGGGCACACTAATGTATCAGAGGGCATGAAAGGTGGGGCGCAGCCACTGATGATTCTCACTAGTTTATGCCCTACGGCTCCAACCACATCGGCAGAAGGTGGTTAGACCCCACTGGCTGTGTGCTTCATCCTTCCAAACGCTGGGTGATCAGGTTAGGTGGGACGTGCTTTCTGGTTATTGCAATCCAGTGTATACCTGTGAGTTCTCACGGTGGGTTCTTCAAACCAGCTCTCAACCGCTGGACCCGGGTCACCGCGGAACCCACAGCGGCACCGGTGGAGTCGTCGCCGTTTAGGATGCCCTTCTGGCCACACGCTGCGTTCGGAGACTCGGAAGGTCCGTCCGGTGAGACGAGGTCAACAGCGACTCCCAGGGTGTCCTGATGCGACTGTGAGGCTTCTCAGGGTCTAAAAGCTGGAACCTGCAGTCACTTGCATCAGCCTAAGTCATGTAGGTGGAGTTTTGATGAATATCACCCCCATGTGGATGCGCTCACTTGCGGTCCAATGACGCTTCTACAACATCCCTTGCCGCGTTTTGCGGCGGGTGTGTGACCCCCATGTGGATTGCAAAACCTTTTTATCATGAGGGTGGTGTTACAAATCAAGAGTCTACATTACGGATGCCTGCCGGATACTACGCTGTTGACATGCACGGAAGGATCCAAGACATGTCCATGAATCAGAATCTAATGTCCACCGTTGATTAAGAAACATGTGGGGGGGGGCCCTCCTCCCTCATGAGTCACCTCAAATTGTCTTAACGTTTGGTGTGCAGGAATCCTCAGCAGGACTCATTGAGGACTCATTGAGGATCAAAGGACCCATTGAAAATCAGTACGGTTAATAATTTTTCTGCCAGCAAGAATCTTTAGCTTTATTTAGAGTGTACTGTTTTGAGGGCATGGTGGCTTCAAGGGGGTACCCTTTCCAGACTGATTTTGGTCAATTGTTGGTGGGTGTTGAATAAGGATCGCGTTTATAAAGCATGTTGTCCGAAGGTTTTGGGGGTTGGTGAGTCCAAGTCATGAAATTAATGGAGAAGGATGCAAAAAATAATCCAAAGAAGGAACCAAATATGTACAGTAATAAAGCATTGAACGGCACAAACCTAACTAAAGCTGAAGGACAGGAGTCTTTTTCAAGACTTTTGTTTAAAGGCTAGATTTGGGATATCTAAGTCCAGGAAAAAACACATTTAGCTTAATTCATGGGTGTTTTCGTTCGTGGTTTTGGGGCTTGCTTAGCTTGATTCAGAGTCATTTGCTTAATCATAGGTCGACATTGGGTGAAGCACCTTGGCAGGGTAGCCATCCCGGCAACGATGTCGCACTTGTGCCAGGCGTTTGAAGCACCGTTTGAGTTTGACGGATTTTTGTTCCACTCGGTGGGATGACCTCAGAGTATCAGGCAATAGAGCTTTCATCCACGTGCGGGGAAAACAATCAGCTCCCCATGTTCACGCGTAGGGCGCAGTGTTAGGCACTGCTTGGTGGATGACCGTCTCAGGTTTCCTGACATCCTCACAAGTTAGTGTATACACGTTCTAGACAGTTGAGATAATAATATGATTTCAACTGATTTCATATATATTAATATATATATTATATATTATCCCTTCTACATCTCCATGGGGCATCCTAAACATCCACATCGAGATGCCGACCCCCTGGATCCAACATCTTGAGACCTCCTCCACCGATTCACCGAGGTGAGGAGCAAAGCCACAGGCGATGGCGGCGATTTTGTGCCGCGAGGAAGATGGAAGTGGGATCCATGTCATTTTGGGGGCAATGGTTGATTAATCCCATAGATCTCCAGTTTTGGGGGTGGTTGATGAAAACACTATAGGGATCCAGTTTTCGTAACGAACCCCAGGTTCGGTACGACTGGACCCGACGTTTTGGCACCTACAGAACAGTGCCGAACATGTCACCGTACCTGAGAAGGTACGACTGGATCCCTAGGGAATGTTTAAAGTATGTTCAAATTAACTTATTAGTGGACTCTATGACTCTATGATAGATGTGGTTTAGTCCAAGTTCTTGATCCTGATAATGGGGAATAATTTGGACTCTCATATCTCAATTCATGACCAGGACAATCCAATGCTGCTTGTATATCTCCCTTGGACTTCCCTTTGGTCCTTGAACAAAAGAAGAAAGGTTTGCCATATGATGCCATGTGAACTTTGAACACATATTTGGCAGTTTTGACCTGCTTGATTAGTCCCTCGGTTTTTGGTCCGGACTGCCCTCTTTCAAGATCAAGCCGCTATTCGGCTCATGTTTTCCTGCATCATTTGGATCATGGGCCCTTCAGGCCTAAACAACGAAGGAAGTGCTGTATGCTTTGTTTGGTTTACGCTGAGACGAGGCGCACTACACGAGGCGTACGACCCATTTTACTGGTATGATATGCTCTTGAAAAGGGGTCCCTGTCATGTAATTATACAGTTACCCAACGGATTCACTTACCACTATGTAATGGCCTACAGCTGGTAACCAGTGGTTCCAAAGACTAAAACCACAGACTTAGAAACCCTAGTAGACACCCTGGTTCCCTATGTAGTAACTGGGATCCACTGGGCTATACATGTCATTTGTCCCTGGTTTTCTGACCCCAGCATGTCCAGACATCTGACCCTACCAGGCAGGTCCAGACATCCGACGGGCGAAGCCGACGCATCGGCCCGGTTCCGCTGGACTTACTGTAGATGGGCAATCTTCGGATGGGAATCACTCAGGCACCGACCTTCAAACGCTGGTTCCGAACACATGTCCGACAGCTCAAATGTTTGGTGCGCGACTCACAAGTGAGCGACTGGAACGGACTTGCTCCATTCAGAGTTCCATCAGGACGACTCTTGTGGCTGCTGGGATTCTGTGTGGACTGGATACATGAAATGAAACTCTTTCCTGACATGTCTTGCTTGAATGGCACAACATGATCCAAAAGGTTTGTGGAATATCATGAATATCCTCCTAGCCACAATAGAGTACTTGGACTTAGTACTGAAGATTATTCAGCATTCGGCTGTGGACGGCATTCTGCATTGGCTGCAACAGACCTGGAGGACGAGAACAGCGCTCAACTTCGGTGGAACCTTGAAGCAACGTTGTGGCAGCATGTATTCGAAGATTGAATTTTTGGAAGCGCTTTGAAGCCTTGGCCATGCGAAAGCTCGTGAAAACGCAAAGCCAAGCCAGATAAAAGCAAGTTAGGACTTGGACAAGGAAGGAAGACTTGAACACGAGCGTGACGGGCAGCCGCTCATGTCACCAAAGTTGTTGATGCCTAGGTCTTGTGAGGGTCAAGCAGAGTGAAGGCGGTCCAGAGAACTGCTTGATGCGCAGCTGATCACGATGACTTACTCGGGTAAAACTTGGGAAGCAGTAGGAGGCGGAATGCGGAGAATGGCAAGTGACTGGCAAGATGCCATTGGCACCTGCTCGCTTGAGATGCTTGAGTGGCGTTTGCGGTTGTCAGAAGGGCGACCATTTTGCCACCAAGACATTCGCGATGGCTTGTGATGGCACCTATGTGGACCCTACTTGTACCCCAAGGCCATTGGAGGCACCCTTTGCCCAAAGCCGCTGTAGGTTGCGTATGAACTCCCCTGGACGGCCAACGCAAGTTGCATGCAAGCGTTTGCCAGCCACGTGATGCCTCGTGGGTGCCTCGCTGTTTCACACGCCTTGCTTGGCACCACTCAGTGCCGCATTGACATAATGCTTAGGCTGACTGTGTTTTTACCGCGTCATTGCTTGGCAGAAACCCACAGACGATTGGAACCTGTGGATTATATTTGCCCATGTATGCACCGTATAGGTGTTCCAAGGCTAAACAAAACGATGGTATCATTTGGTTCCACGCCGGTTCGACTCTGGACCTGCAGTGCCAGGCAGCATTGGCGCCAGGGCCTTAGCACTGCTGAAAAAGTGAGACAGGTCCGTAATGATCTGCAACGCCGACGACAATCAAAAACAGTAACAAAAAAACACTAATTAACTATAGATACATGATACTTTTATTTGTGGGGCATTTTCCACTTGACAACTTTCCGATCATCCTGAACGAACAAGTTGTACTCAGCGTGCGGAGACGGCCACAATTTTGTGGGATATCCGGTCATGAGTTTTTATGTGTTGTGCCCGTGCGACACAATCAAGTGAGTGGAAAGTCAAACTAAATGAAGTAACAAAAGACGAGTACAACACAAACACAACTGCCACGGTGTCCATTTGGTCGTCCACAATCCATCGTCCGTAACAGCCAATGGTTGTCATCATCATTTATGGTTTGTGTGTTTTTCCCCATGTGTGAGGCACTGAACGACTTGGAATGTGGCCACGCCTTTCTCAAAAAAGAGGCAGGCGAACTCACCCGCCGCTCCCCGTTTGGTTCCGCAACGCTCCGCGTGACCCATTCCCTTCCGCAATCACATGGTGTTGGAGATCGGGGTAGGTGGGATTGTTTTTGGACCGGCCCCAAACGCATCCCAAATTCCGAGTAGCTTTGCAACAGATCATTGTTTTAAATTTAGGGGATGCATATTCCTTCTCCATCCACTTTGGTATCCTGTTTCACTGACTGCCATCCTCGTCTATACTGCTTAACCCATCCTTCGTTTGCCGACAATCACCCATGGACATTTCATTTAAATATTAGTCAGTGGTTGATGCACAATTCCAGTTGAATCAACCGATCACATTGAATCAACCATGGTCTTTTGGGTCATGTGTTTGTTTTGATGTCGATCTACATATACTCAAACAAACAATTGTCGCATCTTCACCGTGTGAGACATTTGACTTGGAGACAGGTGAAATATTGGTCGAACCGACGCAGCAGTTTCCCACCAGACGCGTCGGTCAACTGCAGTTTGTGTCAACTTTGTATCGATGCTTTGGGAACGTATTGTGGACTGCGACCTGGCTGCGGCCAGCTTTTTGGCGAACAAGGTGCGAGAACAAGAGGTATGACATTTATTGGATATCGAATGACCTCTTCTTGGACCCCGGAATTCTGAATCCGATAGTCTTGTTGTTGTGTAGTGAGGGCTACCTATTGTGAAATTGTTGCACAACTGGTCGTTGAAACACATTTTTTCTTCAATGGAGACAACGAGATTCCAAAAGCTACCACAACGTGTCAATGACAAAATTAGATCTGCAGTAGAGCAGCGCAATCTCGCAGACTCCCACCCCGTCGAAGCAGAACCCAGCCCTGAGGACCCGAGTGGTGGTTCAACTTCCCTCAGAAAGGGAAGTGCACATAACTTTCGCGCAATACAGTTTCACCTTGTGTGGTGTGTGTGTTCATATATTGCCGCATGCAATTGGTTAATATATATAAATATATACATATATATATATATATAATATGACTTTTTTAAATCCCAGATGGAGACCGTTGAAAACACGCTAGCCTTCACGAATGGTCCCATTTTGGTACCGACCTTGGATTCTGAAGCCTTGTTGACAGTCGCGACATGTGGACGTCCCGTGCCTTCTTCTCGTCCGGTTCGGTAGGCGTCCACCTTCGGGGACCGCAGTTCGCCACTCCTTCCGTGCCAGGAGCTGCAACAGCTCCAGCTAGTGGCAGAAATTACAGCGCCTTGGTCCATTGATGCGCAGTATAGAAAGCCCCCAGCTCAAGAGACAGAGGATTTCAGAGGATTATATATACAGCAGAGAAGATGGAGAAGTAAACTGGTAAGCCCCTAAAAGGGGTCTGTGAACCTCTCACTTTTTGGCATAACCGCTATGACCTCTTCTGTTTGAAACGTCATTGCACCCCGGGTTTGGCAGTCTCAGCCAAGAGATGGATGGTTCATGATTGCCGTGCCGCCATGTGGGCAATGGTAGGGACAAACCCCAATCTGTACATTTGAAGATCGATGGGCTGACAAGTAACGCTACATCTCGCGCTTAAGTAACGTCACCCAGTCCAAATGGGTGAGAGAAGTGGGAGGAGGACCGGTCGGCGAAAGTGTCAGAAAGCGTCTCTTCTTGTCCACCCGTCATGTCCGTCTTTTTGAAGCATCTCTTTCGACATCCTTTTGGGCCTCAATCTGCCAAAACTGCTTCAGAACGTGTTGCCGAAAGGAATCATGGTGTTCAAACTGTGTCTGGAATCATGGTCGTGACGACACGTGACGGATTCATGCGTGCGACACGTTCGCCCTTCGACCGTGTCGACACGGACACGGAGGGTGTAATTCGGCCGTTCTCACTGGTCGTTGAAGCGGTAGAAGCGGAGATCCTTTGGTGTGGGAGTGTGAAGTTAGTACCCAGACACTCCATGTATATGGCATATATGTACCTATACATTGGGATGGTTGAAAAGGGGTCAATGTCGGCATATCTTCATATATCTTCGGAGTGCCGGTCTAAAACCATCCCAATGGATCCCAACATGTTGGTCTTTGCTTCAGGACTTCACCGGCCCCAAACAGGCCTCAGCGCTTCCGGGCGACGGCCGCTCCGACCGCTCCGCGGCGAGCGCTCTGCAGAGCGCGCTCCAGCGCTTTGGCCGCTCGCTGACGGACCGCGGAGGAAGGGTAGGACGGCAAGGGAAACAAGGGAATGGTGTTCTGCTGGTTTGACTGAGAAACAGGTTCAAAACAGGTCAAAACCCTACAAATATTGGGAAACTGTTTGCTGGTTCTGATTCTGCAAGGCAATACATGCATGCATGCATACATACATACTTACATACTTACATACTTACATACATACATACGCATACATACACATACATACACATACATACACATACATATACATACATATACATACAGATACATACAGATACATACAGATACATACATATACATACATATACATACATATACATACATATACATA